CCCCAAAACCCCAAAACCCCAAAACCCCAAAACCCCTTGATTTCTTAAGAAATTGCAACTTTTAGCCTCTATTGACTCTTCCTCTAACACTTGACTTGTTATGACGTCGTGAAGAGATGAATCTCTGCTTGTCCTTATAAAACGAAGGGGTCGCGGCAGACCTTTTGGTCGTTGGCCTCGTCCATTGGTTTATAGAAATGCTACAAATATAGTCACGGGTGAATACCTGGCGTTAACATTATGTCTTCTGACATAAGCTAGTTTCTTATTATGCACCCAAGTAGTCTCTTTTATCTTATTGCGAATAAAACTGATGAAACTGGAATATGACTTCGGGTTCATGTGCTTCTGAGTGGTGCTCGGGATGGTTATAATTTCCCAAATTCTACAGTGAGATTTGTGAAAATTTACTTGTATTAATCTGTTCGGTTATTTTAGACACTTCCTTAGTGTTCTTCTGTATCTTTTGAGCATTAGGAATTGAGACACTTAACTTGAAGGCTGTCTTGGGGCTGGTTTTACCCGATCGAGGTTCATCTTTGTGAGAGTGTCTTTTTCTTGTGTGTTTGTGCTCTAGTTGAGGCTTGCCAGATCCTAGGACGAAAAGCGTAGGATCTTTTTGCTCCTTTGAGTCTTTTTGCATTCTAATTTGCTTATTTTTGAACTTTTGGAGTGTCATTCGTCCAAATCAAGGAATTGAAGGAATTTTCTTCTTTGATGGGAGATTTAATGATAAATCAAAAATTCAAGGAGTCGTCGGTTTCTTCTTGCTTTTAGCTTTCTGAATATAATTTTAGGAAGACAATTACACATTTTCGGCTATAGAAAGAATGATTAGCAATTTTGGTGATAATCTTTGGCTTGATCATCTTTGTGCTAAACATCACTGTCTCGTCTTGAAGCGTGCTCTCTGACGATTGAGGGTTTAATTTCAAGGTTGGTTTGCTGTAATTTATCGAATAAAAATACTTCAAATTGATTCGTTTAAGGTTACTTCCTAGGTAAAATATGATGCTTAAACTATACCTAGCTTATTAGATTGCAAGTTGTTCATTTTGAATGAGAAATTGTCCCATTCTTCTGATAGAATCTCGATTTCCTTTTTCGATCTCATCTGAAAACTTTGTTGCTCTGAAACTGAGTTAGCATGGCAAATACCAATAAAGAGCTTACTGAAGTTATTATTTCTTGGGAGGGTATATCAGATCAGTGATCAACAATTTAGATACATCTCTCTGAGTATTCTCATTAGTAGAGCTAGGCTTTACAAGTTTCGAGTTTAAGTCACAACTTTTACCTCTTTGCTTTATTTTCTTTGCAGGATTACTATAGGCTTTACTTCAATGGATTACTTCTGCAGAGGGTTCTGGATTGTGAATAACGAAGCATTTGGAGTCGACATCTTAGTTCGATAAAAATTGTTTGAATTCATTCCATGAGATTCCATTTCCTAAAACTATATTTATTTTCATAATTCAACACTGGCAATGGAAAGAGGGGTTTTGGGGTTTTGGGGTTTTGGGG